AATATATAATGTAAAAAAAAATGTCGTTGACCTGTTGGGTTATGAGATCAGAACAGATTTTAAACAGCGATATAACTGATTTTGGTGGTCATGCTAGGTTCGGAGGTAAATTTTAATTAGTCGGAAAATGATTAAATCAAGTAGATGAATAAATCAGCGAGATACTGTGCAATCATCCTTTTTTTCAAAAATTTACCATTAATAAAGGTCGCACAAGTATTTTATATTTTAATGTTCGAAGCTTTAAAACAAATAATCGATACCTTGATACAAATGTAATACTGTAAATGCAACACATCTTTTAACCTTTAATCAAACTATTATGAATACTGCTACTCCGTTTTTCGTTCACCTAAATTTTAAAATTTTTCAGCAAAAGCAACGAAAACTGAAGGATTTTGGGTAGATGCTTTCTATATTTAATGGATATTGAATGTTATAATTATATTTTCGTACTACCTATGCTGCGAAATAACAACTGTAAAATTACTATAGAAAAAAGTTTTTTAATAAAATTTATGTTTTTTTTCTTTTGGTATAAAAGCATTCATTTCACTCGAAGAGTTGCCAAATAGTTGATCACAATATTATACAATGTTAAATTGAAATTAAATTTTTTTTTTTAAATTTACTTCTTGTTTTCCACAAAACAATTTTTGATAACGACTCCATAAGTTGATTCTGTTACTGTTGCAACAAATTTTAAATCGGTAAAATCATTAAAAGGTGGAGCCAGTGCAGCTGGTTGAATAAAAAAATTTTTGTTTTTAGGAGGCTTAGCGAAGATTATGAAATATGGGAAGAGTATGCTCAAGCATTTAATATTATAAATGTCGTAATTGATTGTGATGCTTGAGCGTTACCATGATCATTATTTAATTGATTGAGATGCTTGAGAACATAGTAGTCGTTGATTGGGTACAATAAGCAATAATAACATTGTTGATCGCGACCTAAACCACAAACCATAAGGACAATCGGGATACTGACGAGAATATCTACAATACACATGAACCAATAAACAAAACACATTTTGTTTACGTTGTAGGAGTGATCATAAAGATGGAAAACTTACAGTTACATATTATTAAAAAAAAATAAAAAAGGTTGTTGTAATCACGTTGGCGAATTTAACTGCACCTTGTTAACTATATCACAATGGCACACTCTTATTGCATTCGAATTTTTTCTATAGATATAGTAATATAACGTCACTTCTCTATCATGTTTCATAATGCTATTTACATGTTTTATTTACAGGTTTTCACCCTGCAGTACTCAACAAATCTGGGGTCATCGATATCGACATTGATACCAAAATATCTTTATATAACTTTCTTTCTGAAGCAACAGTTTGAAAATCGTAATATCGTAGCTGTGAGGTTTGCAATCACTGACAGTTGACTGATAACACTCAATTTATTATTATTATTTTTGAAAACGTGATAATTTAAAGAAAAAATCATTAGAAAATTAGTCTAGAAAAAAAGATACAAATAATCCAATAATAATTACGATAATCGAGATGGTTAAGTTTTTCCCACCAATGACTTTTAAAGCGATATTTTGAATTTATATAAAGTTTGTTAAGGGCTGTACTGTATAAAAAGAATTCGGCTTAGAAAGTTGTTGATTTGCTGCGCATCGAGATATTGTTTGATACCAGTTGTCTTTATTTATTTAGATAAGCAAAAAGGCTTTTTCATAATAATAACAAAGATTTTATAAATATATGTTTGCGATTATAGTCCAATTAAGAAACAAAAAAAAAAAAAAAAGAAAAGGAAAAAAATTTCAACGAATATTTCTTTTCAAATAGTTGTGAACGCAATTCGCATTAGATTATACTAAAAAACAAAGGTCAAAATGCCGGTCGATACTAAGATGAAAAACCCACGAGCTCGTCAGGGCTGGATTGAGTATTTAACGAAGCGACATGGTTGGGGGTATTTATAATTACAATAAAATTAGTAAAATACGTGTATAACAGAATATATCGTTCATGATATGTGTTTACTGTGGACGTTATCCTACTGTACGATAGGTTTCCTGATGCGTTAGAAATTCAAGGCTCTGTATTTTTGAACATTATCCCTATACTCGTTTCTATAACTTTATGGACAACTTTTGTCGTTGTCCTTTATATGGTAGTCGGCATATCCAGTATTGCTGTTTCCGCTAATTTAAGTAAGATTCGAATATAACATGTGATTTTTTCTTTACTTGTCAATATCGAATTCTTTTATTTATTTTATTTTTTTTAATCGTATGATGTAGCCGCTTCCGTCTCTGTTGTAGTGGCGCTTCTTTTAGTTTTCCGTACGAACAACTCTTATAATCAATATAATGAAGGTCGACGTTTATTCACTCAGATGTGGTTAGTATTAATGATAGTATTTTGTATTAATGTTTAATAAGGGTTGATATATTTTAAATATGCATTTTACTTAGTACTATTGTCAGAAATTGTACACGCACTCTATGGATAAGCGTTAAAGAAGATAATTATCACGATCATCGCGAAAAAGAAGATCATATTAAATTACTATTGGGATATGTAATTGCTGTTAAACATCATATTAGATTTGAGTTTGGGATTCATTGGCCTGATTTACAAGATCTTCTTCCTACTGGTTTTCAACAAACTTATTATGATGGCAGTGCAGTACAAGAAACTGGAGCACAAGAATCTGAAAATAAATCTTTGCTTGACGCATTGCCGATTCGATCAATATCAAGCAAAATTCCACCAACTGTTTTTAAAAGGCATATTAGTCATTTTTCAAAAGAAGAAAAGAAAAAAATGTATCAAGTTGAAGAATTAAGTGAAGTAGATGCGAGTATGAGTTTGCCTTTGGTAAAAATATATATTTTTTTAAAATAGTTTATAATTGTTGAAATTCTTATGAATTTTTCTAAATAAAAAAAAAAATTTTTTTTGTTGAAAATTTAGGAAATTGTTTTTCATTTACATTTATATTTCATACAAGTGTCTAAAGAAAAAAAATTGGATGGAGCTAAATTTAGTATAATGGCAGGAAATTTGGACATTTTGATTGATGTTTTGGGTAATTTAGAAAGGATTGGAGGTACACCTCTCCCAACTGCCTATAATGTTCATTTGTAAGTTTTCTTTATAATTTTTTGTACATTTATTAAAAAAACGTCCATTTTATCACCATATGGCATAATCAAAAATGTCTAAATTACTTAAAACTGGAGTAATATACTGTATTAAAAGAATTTTCATATGTATAAAAATTGTTATATGGTGATATATAGCAATATATTCTTTATTTTGTTATTTACATAACGTTTATTATTTTTACAGGAAACAAGCTGTTGTGCTATATAGTAAAAATAAAATTTTTATACATATTATTGTTTAAAATTATATACATGTTTTTAATTACCATTTCTTTTCTTATAGTGATCGCTCTTCCGTTCACCATAGTCGCTGATCTTGATTGGTTTACTATTCCTACTATGCTTCTAGTTGCTTTTATTTTCTTTGGTATTTTAGCTGTTGGTATGTAAAATAATTTACTATATTTTTGCGATATCTTTACAATAATATATTTACATATATTTTATAATATTTTTGAATTTAAATAATAGGTACCGAAATTGAAAATCCATTCGGTAAGCAATTTACATGTCTTAGTGAAATTATTTTAAAAGATCAATGTTTTAATACATTCTTTGCCTTGTATTTAGGGTACGATGAGAACGATCTTCCATTAGACGAATATTGTAAGGTAAGAAAAAAACTTTTTTTCAAATTCTTTAGATTATTAGATTACCATATTATTTGATTATTCGAATTAATAATTAAAAATGTAATCTAGGATTTGGAAGCAGAAGTCAAATATTTGCAAAGACATCTTCCAAGTGGCTTAAAATCCTCAAAAGATAAATAGATAAATTGCGATAGGATTTATCAATTAAAAAATTTTAGCGTTATTATTAACGTAATTTTGAATTTTGATAGAATAATATATATTTATTGTATGGTTTTATTTTGTTTAAAATTTTATGAACTTTTGTTTTTTTTTTAATAAAATCTAAAAAGTTATCTTTATCGTCACTGTAAATTTCTTAACTGTTAAAATCGAGCGGAAACTTTTAGTTTATCAGGTCATGTGACTATGCAGATCTGTATCTTTATTAACAGTATAACGATAACTTTTAGCGTTAATAAAATAAAATTTGGGATTATCGAAAATTTTGACAGATTGCATCTTTAATAATGTTTATAATTGGATAGATATGGTATTACAACATGTTCAAATTCTATTAATTCTTGCACTTTAGTATAACTGCCCGGGTAGCTCAATTGGTAGAGCGTCAGGCTTTTAACCTGAATGTCGGGGGTTCGAGCCCCCCCTCGGGCGTTGTAATTTCTTTTTAAGAAGTTTCTTTTTTTTTCGCATCGAGAACAATCACATGACTAATTTTTGATGTTCAAAAGTAACGGAAGTTCGGGCATGGGTACAAGCTAAGCCATTGGCTTATTTATTATCGTTATGTGTACGTACGTACAACTAAAAATACCTATACCGATAGTATTTCAAATTTATTATATACTTATTTCCGATACTTTATTTACGCTGTATCGAATTATAAACAACTAAATTTTAAATCCATTACAATATTACAATCTTCCTTAATACACCAGATATTAGTACTAAAATAATAGATAATATTTCGAGTTTCGTAAGAATAATTCGAATAAGTCTCGAAAGACGGGTATTAAATATCTCCATAGTAATATCTAATGTAGAACATTTTTCGTATTTGGATAAGTGAGACACGTATTTTCAAAAAAAGTATCATCTTCTGATCCATAATACCGGATCAAAAACTGGAATATTTTTTTATAGGACACCGCTTCGCATTATCTAAGCCACGATTATACTTAATAAATTTGGAAAAAAATTTTTCGTTATTATTTATAACTTTGAAAGAAAAGGTTAAATTTTAAAACAAAGGAAATAAACATGCATGACAATAAAGGTGAAAATGCAACTACGAATAGAGTAGTCGAAGACCAAAAAAAAATAAGCAATAAAATTAACCAAACATCTCAAGAAATTAGCAACGCTAATCCCTCTGAATTAAAAAAAACAAAATCAAGTAATCGATCATCAGTGATAGATTATTCAACAATCGTAATTTCAGTATCATCGGGAACAGAAAACGATAAAGTTCTTGATAATTTAGAGTCTAACAATGCTGGTAGTAATGTATCATCTGCCAACGCTAGAAGTAATGTATCATCTACCAATGCTAACAGTAATCCACCATCCACCGGACTATTAAACCCAAAAACAGAAATGATGAATATTGAACAGTCGCAAAAAAATCAGCAGTCTATTTTTGTGCCTCGACCACCACCATATCAACAACCACCACATCAACAACCACCATCACATCAACAATCACCACACCAACAACCACCACCACCACATCAACAACCACCACATCAACAACCACCGTATAAACCACCACATCAACAATCACCACAAACACCATCGCACCAACAACCACCATCGCACCAACAACTACCATCGCACCAACAACCGCTATCGCACCAACAACCGCTATCGCACCAACAACCGCTATCACACCAACAACCGCTATCACACCAACAACCACCTTCTTACCAACAACCACCTCCGAAATTATTTTATCGGCCACCACCTCCTCAACAATTAGTTCATCGTAAATCACCTCCACAGCAATCACAACCACCTTCGCAACAACTATCTCAGAGACAGCCACCTTTACAAATGCGGCCACGGAATGATACAAATCCTATGCAACAACAACTGCTAAGACCATTGCAACCACAACAAAGGTCACAAACGAACTCTAATATTTATAATACAAACGAACATGGCCAACTGATATTTCAAAATAAGTCAAACTTACTTCAGGAAAATAAAAGTGAGATGAAATTTTCCACAGTTCCTTTAGATGGATTAAAATCAGTAGAAAATTCTGATATTAAATTCGAAAGCAATAATAAAAATTTTTTGCCAAACCAAGGTAAACTAAATTTGTCTTCTGAAAATCATTTCTGTTAATCACTTTCATCAATCAGTCCCACCATCAATTTTTTATTTATTTTTTTTTTTCAGGTTGGACTAGTAGTAAGGAAAATCCAAACATACGTCAGCGTGCTTCACAACCTCCAACAGATACAAAAAATTCCAAAAATCCTGGTGTTGAAAAAGAACAATCATCTGAAGGACAAACCAAGACAAACAATAAACAAGTACAATCTCAAAATCCATTTTCGACGAGTCTTCACTGGACTTGGATTTTATTGATTTTCCTTGCATTAGCAGCTCTCGCTTTTACTGTTTATCGACTGGTATTTTTATTTATCGGATATTTATACTATTTTTATCATCATTTGATTAACATTGATATTTATTATCATCATAGGATTCAATTTATGTCGAAGATAAAAAAGTTCATATTACGGTTGGTTAATTAACATATATTAATATTCATATTTTAAAAAATGGTTGAAGTTAAATTACTTGTTTTAAAATAATAGATGCAACGTCCTTTCTTGGAAGTATTTACGAACTCAACAGTTACTTTGATGCAAGATCTTAACATGATTAGTGATTTACCTGGTAAATAATAAAGAAAGATCTATTTTAAAAATCTTACAAATTTATGCTAATAATTTTTTATTACATAACATTTATATCATTTATATATATTTCAATAAATAATAATAAAGCATCAGATACAATTATGAAAGGAACTGTCCTATATAAACGTTTAGCCAACATTCTCGAAACCAGCCCTGGTTTTAAAAATAATGGTGCAGCTATCGCATCATATCTTCGTCATTACAGCACTCAAATAATGGAAGCTGGTGAAGCGTTTGAAGATATGTACCGTCAAGGTGACTTGGTATTTTGGATTTTAGATAGAGAGATAACTCAAATTCTCGAAAAATTAAAACCAAATATATTCGGACAAATATTCTTTAAAGATGATGATCCTGCATTTTTTAAAGAAAGAATTAAAGATATGATGCAAGTTGTTGACGCATTTAAATCAAAGGTTACGGCTGCTATCAGAGCAGTTAGAGTTGCAGATTCGATTAGAGATCAAACTGAAAAAGGATTATTTCGTGGAATTAAAATTGAAGCCGAAAAATTTGTAAAACTTGGAACACGTCAAAATGAATATCGATCGCCATCATCATACATAAATGATGAGTTAATTATCGATATTGAAAATGCTAAAAAGCATTTAGAACAAGCTCAAGAAATTTTAGATTTGTTATATAGATCAGGTTATGGGTTAAATAGGTTGATTATTATTTTAAATAATTATAGAAATAGGTTGCATGATATTGAAGCTGAACTTGACGATAAGATCAGCATTACAAAAAATCAAATCGATAAGTTAAAAAAACTTTTGGATAATCTAAAAGAGTGTCATGAAAAATTTTCTAAACGAGATTATATTGATAATGGTTTTGATGATGTTACTTTTGATTCAAAGAATGAAGTTGATGGTTTTGTTAAAATTGATGATGATAATTAAAATTATTAGTTCACAATTGTGGGCGTATTATTTTCTGTTTAAATGCATATTTGTTTAATCTTATTGTCTGATACTCTTAAGGGGTTTTATGTATAACACAAAGTAACTAAAAAATGTGCAATTTCCTTCTTGTAAATAAAGTATATGGTATACGTGACGCGACAAAAACTAAAAAAAAAATTAATATTAGTTACTGCTTTGGTTAGAATAGATTAGTCACGCAACCAAAATTCAGCCAGAGTGACTAAAAATTACGGGTTGAAAGAGTCAGATTTGGTAAATTATATGCCCGAATAAAAAGCTACTACCCACCCTTTTCTTTTTTTTATGTCAGATTATATTTATCGGAAAAAACGCGAGACTTCTTTAATATGGCCGATAAAGAGAAGTCTGAAAGTCAGATACCCTCCATGTATGAATTGCAGTTAACATCTTACCCTGGTGGGTATTATAAACAATAACTTTTATCATCAAGAGTCCTGTATTGGATGCGAAGCAGCCAATAATAAATTTTATTATATCCAACCTTTTTAATTATATATTACACTTATTAATTTTGCCACATAAATATATTCATCAAGGGCGTGCCAAACTTTCGAAGCAAAAAAGGTGCGACGAAACGAAATATTGTCGCGGGATGCTTCGTAAATTGATTTTTAATAATTTTTGCATGATAGAAGTACGGGACAAATATTCGCAAGATGAATGAACTTCTATTTCTGCAGGACATCCTCGTTCAATTCGTAATAAACACGTCACTTATTTTATTTGGCCGAATCATTAATTTGAAACCTCCATTAAAATTATTTTCTAACACATATTGGCACATAAAGACACTTGACACCTTGAATAATATCGTTTACTAAAACATTAAAGACCGCATCGCACACACTTAAAAAGTATCTTGTTCACCATGGTATACCATCCGGCCAAAATTATACTTTATATTCTTAATTTTGCCCGAAGTTAGTATTGTTCACCAAAGTAATTAATCCATTACAGCTGTTTTCATAAATTCTGGGACATCTGGCAAAAAATTAATCGCCGAATATTTCCGATTCGATAAGTTTGTGATTTCGGTATGATAACTGCCGAATCAAAAACTTATCGAACCAGCAAATATCCGGTCGGTCAATTTTTTGCCAGATGTCCCAGAATTTATGAAAACAGCTGTAAGGCCGAAGGCCTATTAATTAAGGATGGTAAAAAAAAACAATAATGTTTTTATGTTTTTTTTTTTTTAACTGAAACACAAAAACGGTTTAAAACTTTGGCAGCTGAGTTTGAGACTGAAATAATTATTTCTGATTGGTTAATCTCTGTACTGTAAAAGTTCCATACGGTAATATCGTTTCGAGAAACCATTCATACGAGAAAAATTTCTTTTATTATATTATCATGTTTAGTAAAATTATTAAAACATTAAAGATGCAAAACTGTTAATTCAAATTTACTAACGCCAAATAAATTAATTTTATAATAATATTGAATTGCGTCGCGTCGTAATTTTACGATAACAATGATTACGTCAAATGCTTTAAAATGTATTAAAAACTATAAACCAACCAATTTTTTTTTTTAAAATCATGTTTTAAATCATTTGTATCTCTGCTATCAATACTTATTCGAACACTGTTAAATGGTTTACATATGTAAAAAAAAAAAAAAAAAAAAAAAAAAAAATCGATGGTCCGTCTGATAGTAGTAATAAGATTATTAAGAACGTAAGTTACAGTGTTACATAAATATTCAGCTTTCATGAAATTTATCGAATTTTTGTTACAATGCTAACTTAAAGTGACCAGGATTCTTAAAGAGCAGTCGAATACGTCGAAATCATTTCGATTCTAAAATTTATCAAGCGTTTACCAGACTTAGAAAAGATTTTACTCGTGTATCATTTGCAAGATTTGTTTTATTTGGACTTATTGTAACTGCTGTCTCGGTTTATTTGATTCAAAAATATAATGATTTACAAACTTTGCTTTTTTTAATGCTAAATTACCACCAGTAAGAGATAACATTTTCAAGGAAAGAAAAGAAATAGAACTATCGTATTTTCGCGTAATAACGCGTTATTTTGAGTATATGTGCGTTATTTCGAGTACGCGCATGAGCGTTATTTTGAGACATTTAAAAAATTTTAGGTAATTCTTGTATAAAAAGTAAACTAGATTTAGCACTAAGTAAACCTTCCTTCAAGCTTTAACAAAAGTTAGTTTGAAAATCAACTTTTGTTGAAGTTCGAAGGTTTACTTAGCACTAAATCCAGTTCCAAAGTATTTTTAAAATTTACTATAAATATACATCCTTCGCTATGGGTGCACGCTATTTTGGGACGCGCATGAGCGTTATTTTGAAACTATATATATTATTTTTAGGGGCACGATTTTCGAAATAACACTCATGAGCGTTATTACGCGAAAATACGGTAATCAAAGGGATTCTGACATTGATGTTATTAAGTCCTACCTTACTATCTTGTTATTGGTCCTCATGGTTGTGGGAAAAGTACTTCGCAGCCAGAACTTTTAAAAAAGGCATATTGTATGTTTATATTGAAAAGTTTGGTGAAAATCTGCAAAGGCAATTAATTATCCTAAACTTGATGTTAATCTTATTGAATGGCTAGCGAGTCAATTAAGTGGTAATAATGTATATTATTTTGAAAATAACTAGTTAGGAAATTGACAAATAGTTTAATTATTTAGGAGGTCTTTACACACATAAATTATTATGTTAGAAAGTTTTATCAAGGTTCAAAGAATATCGCTTTGAAAGTGATGAAGAAATCTTCCATTCATCCGGTGCCTATAATTGATGACATTGCCAAAATCGCAAAAAACGATCCTAAAGTAGTTGAAAGCTCCAAAATGTTGCTAAAACTATAGCAGATCATCGCCTCTTTACCGTGTATTCGTAGCAAGTGATGCAAATTTAGTCGACAATTTCATGAGTAGTAGCATTCAGATCTTATTTAAATTTTAAAATGGTAATACTTCTAATTAATATAATTACCATAATAATATCTAGAAAACTCTTCCTGTTCAAGTTGCGTAACTTTATACATTGGTGATTTTAATAAAAATGAAGCTTTGGCTTATTTAGTAATAATCGCAAGATTGATGCTCAAATTGCAAAGAGGATATTTGATCTATGTGAAAATCGAATTTTTCAGATTGTCAGTGTGGCTTTCGAAGTAAATTGACTTATAGTTTATGTAAAGGTTTGGGAAAAAGTGTTGATGATAATGATAATGAATTCTGTGAAGAGTTGATGGTAAGTTATTGGAATCTTTTATCATATCATAATAGCTGAATATTAAGTTAATTTTTTATTTTAACGTAGAACGAATTAACAGAATTATAAAGGTTATTAACAGGTATGGAATATTCATGTTCCTGAGAATTCAGAACAAACGATTCTTCGATTTCTACCGTATAAACGTGTAATAACTCACATAGGCGTTATTTCGAAATTTCAATTTTTTTAAAAATGGCATATTTGACTCAAAATAACGCCCATGCGCGACTCAAAATAACGCGCCCATATGTACCAGATTATCATTCACGTGCTATTTTGATTCTTCGAATAAATTTGAATATAATAAAGCTTTGGTTCAACCTCTAAATCTGAAACCTATTTATCATATGGTTAAACAAAATATCTACAATTTATTCGCCTTATATTGTCTTTATCTCAAAAAAAAAAAAACCAAGTTCTATTATGATGTTTCAGGAAAGTTCTTAGTAGCAGATTCTTTTTTCCAAATTAGCATAATGATTTGAATTATCGCGCATGCGCGTCCCGAAATAACGCGCAGTGGCTCGAAATAACGAGCCCTTGCGCGTTATTACGCCTTATACGGTATGCAACAACTTAGATGTAGAATTTACTAGAAGAGATATCATAATTTGGAGACCCAGTTATAAAAATAATGTTTAATGAACTTTATGTGAAGAAAACTAGGAAACTCGTTTAAATTTCTATTTAATGTCTCATGCTATCATTCCGGGTATTGAGAACTCTTTAGATTATGAGACATCAGAGAATTTTCAGAAAAAACTTTATAGTTTAACTAGCGCTTGAGTTGCTTAAAAGATGTTATAATGTAATATGCTATATCGTATTGTATTGCTGTATATTTAACCTTTTACATATTAATTATATGTAATTTAGTACAATTCTCAAATTTTTATCGATTTCATATTATTTATAGCAATACAGTGGAGCTTTGTATTAATGATTAGAAATTTTTTAGTGCTTATTTTTGTCTTTACACATTTTATTGTGTTAATTTTATGGATGAGATTTTTATACATTTCCGGTTATGTATGAAATTTTATTATTTTAATCTTTTTTATCACAATTAAATAGCTAACTTTTTGTCTTTTTTTTTGTTTAATTCATTTACTTGTTATTAACTATTTTATATTGTCTCTCATTACGATGCATTATATATTATATTGTTTTTTTCTATCACTAGTGCGATATGGTAACTACTATATGTGATTAAGATTTAGTTAGTTTGCATCAGAGTTATCATGATTTGATCGTTAGTTGCTGTAAAAAATTCTGTTATAGTCCTTGCTATTCAGTGATTTCAGTATGTAGATAAGTTTGAGATAGTTTACATTAGAATTAACATGATTTTGCAGTTAAGGTGAGTTAATTTGCATCAGAATTATTATAATTTCTAATTGCAAATTGCTATGAATAATTTTGTACAGAACTTACTTGCTATTCTGGTAAATACAGTATTTAGTCAAAATTGAGTTAGTTTGCATTGAAATTATCATAATTTTTTATTGTGAATTACAGTAAAAAAATTTCATTATGGAACTTACTCACTATTCTAGTGATTATAACATATGATTAAGTTGGTTTGCATTGGGATTGTTATGTTTCTTATAGTTACTATAAATAATTCTGTTACAAACTTTACTATTCTGATAACTACAATAAGCACTTAAGGTGTGTTAGTTTATATTGAAATTAGTATTACAGTTAGACCTTCATCAGCAAAAAATATAGATGCAAAATTTTGAAAGTTATTGCATGCAAAAAAATTGCAAAAGAATTGCGATTGACGTGATGGATTGCAAAATTTTAAAAATTGCAAAATAGCGCAAAATATTTTGAAAAAATGTGAAAAATTTTGTGGCATTTTTGCAAATATAATACATTAAAAACACATATAAAATAAAAATTTGAAAAATATTTCACAAACTTTCGCAATATTTTGAAAACTTTCAAAAATTTTTGAATAATTCGCAAAATTTTGAAAATTTTCGCAATATTTTGCAAAATTGCAAAATATTTTGAAATATTGCAAAATATTTCAAAAATTTTCGAAAGTTTTTGAAATATTACAAAATATTCAAAATCATGAAAAATTAATATATAATATGAAATATATCGAATAATTTCGAAATTTTCAAATAATTTTAAAATATTTTTTGAAATTTAAATACACATATTAAAAACATTTACAATAGATTATGAAATAATTCTAAATATTTTTAAAAATTATAGTATATATTTAATACAATAAAATATATTTAACTTTAT